CAATTCACATAGGAGTTCAATTAGTCCATCTTATGTAAGTAAATATAAGACAACAACTAATATACTGCAAAACATAAATGAGCAGACTAACAACTAATATAGTTAAAACAATAGATACAGAAGCAATATAGAAGCAGAGCAAGTGAGCAAAAATGAAAGAACATATACTGCGAAACAGAAGCAGAGCAGGCATGAATAGACCAGCATAGTCCAAATGAGAATCGTACCTCTTGTTGTGCCTCAACCATCGATACAAAAGCAGAGGAGGACAGGAGCAGATTCTGCGAAAACTAGAATGTCGATGCTAGATTTAAGAGACACAAAATTTCAGAAGAGCAAGAGAAGTGGAAGCTCTGTATGGAATGCACTTAAACATTGCCTTAAATAGCTGCATAAGGAGGCATAATCGGGATATGTATGACCTCGTTGAGATGTACTAGACCCATAAAAGTTAAGATTGACTTCAATAGACATGATAATTATTGGTAGGAAGGATTATCGGAGGAAATCAAAGACTGGAATAGGAAGAAAGAGTGGTAAAAAAGTTATGTAATTGGATAGAAATCATATTCTAGAAGAGTATTATGCACTGGAGATGATTATGGGTGAATGTTTTGGGAACAAAGGGAAAGAATCCAAGGGATAAAGGTAGGTTATTGGATTTGGGATACCATCGTCGGAGGAAAGAAAGAAAGAAAGGAAAGAGGAGATTCAGAGACAAAATCGGAGGTTGGCTTGGCTGCGCTTTTGCGAGGGTTCCTCATCTCCTAGTGGGCGCTACTGTTATGCTTGCTCTCGGGTTGTGCGGATAACCCCCAGACCCACCCATGACTCACCCTCCACCCGTCGGATGTCCCCCAGCTGTACCCGCCAACCACCCGTAGATCCACCCACAAAAGCATGAATCAGGTTAAATGCGTGGGGAAGGTTCGTTGCGATGAGACACTACGGACGAGAAGCTTCCGGCTCCCACATCAACATAGTCATTGTTGAAATTGCAAGGATTCTCGCATGCCTGTGTCATTACTGCTACTGGAACAGGTTTGTTCGGGCCACTTCAAGCCAATTGGAAGTATAGGAAGAAGTATGTGCAAGATGACAGGAAAGACAGCAGCATTGCAAGCAGCAGAGGTTCGATTAACGACTTTATCAGACTGTCGATGGGAGGCATAATTGGGCCTCTCCTGTACGGGGTTGACTTGATGGCTATGAGAGAGTCTTTAGCTGGACTAAGAAAGTGACGGAAGTGGAAGGGAGGTTCGAATCTCCAGAGGGATTGTTGGGAGTGCATGAGAACCAACTTTGCGCAGGCAAATTCATTTATCATGCCTTCCTACATGACGTGGATGGAGTAATGCATGTGATATACAAAAAGCATGGGTGGGGAAGAGGAATTGACTAGCTTCGTGTTGGAGAATGAAGGAGCTAATTTCATTGGAGTAGCAGCCAATCCCTTCGTGTTGTCTACGTTGGACTTGTGAGAGTGCCCGGGCATAGCTGAAAATTTCATAAACGAGGTCGTCGCCAACAAACATTCACTCGCTTGGCTATCATCAACAAGTGGGGAAGGTTCGTCTTTGTTGCTTTATAACTTTATGATGTTTATTAGTATAATTGGTCGGGTTAAGGGGTGTTAGGTTTAGGCGTATTATTAGGGGGCTTATGTAATTAGCAGGGTCTAGGGTATTGGATTGCCAAGTTACGTTTGGAAGGGTGAGAGTACGCAAGGGTTTCGTGGAGTGGAGGCCAAGTATTTGTCCAAGTAATGTTAGGTTTATTTGTTAGGTTCAAGGTCTTGTCGTATAAACAGGGTCCAGATAGTATAACAACAGTATATTTGTTGTTAGGGAGCGGTTACGGTGCTAATTGTACAATAGTTAGCACCGTCCTAACCAAGGGAAAAACTACTACTAGTTTGAAGTAGTAGTGATTTAGCTTAGATGTTGTATTGATTTTATAATAATCCGTCTACTAGTTTGAATTAGTAGTGATTTAGCTTAGATGTTGTATTGATTTTATAATAATCCGTAGTGATTTTGTTATTTTTAGTAGCGTTTTTTGCTAGTTATCACGGTCCATCCCTTGTTGTTACTATAACAATAAGGACAAAAAGGTAATCCAACCAAATATAATTAAAATTATTATAAAATTGAGATAAAAAATCAATAACTACTTTTTCTCCGTCCCATCCCATCCAGATCTCATTCTGCCTTCTTCCTTTCATCCGACGACTCGGCTCCCTGAAACAGCTGCGGCAGCTGGGCGCCGGGAGAGCATCTCCGACGGCCTGCCTTCCGACAACCCCCGCAGTGGTGACGCTTCTCCTCCGCCATGCTTCTTCCTCCGCCGCTCCTGCCCCTGCTTCTTCTGTCACCAGGCGTTCCCTCGCTTGAGTTCATTTTGCCAGAAGGTGCTCCTTCCTTTCCCTCTCTCTCCCTACACCGCTCATTGGTTTGTAATAACGCGAAGAGCTGTTAATTTTCTGCAATGAATTGAAGATGCTCCGAGAAAAGGCGTAAACTTGAGATGAGCTGCTTGATTGATGCTAGTATTGTCAAAGTGGGGAAGAGTTACAGCCCTCAAAATTTGTCGCCGGTGGTGAAATGAAGAATGGTCAAAGGAAGGGAAATTGGATCAGTTTATTTCCTGTTACAGAGGATTAACTGGAATTTTATTCTCTTTTGTTATTTTTCCATACTATCAGTTCTCCGCACTAGATGAGAGAAGATAGTTGGTCTACAGAGCAGTCTATGTTCTTATCAGCTGAGCTTGTGTTCATCTACATTGTTCTTATAATCCCCTGTTTCATCGAGTAAATTATCATGGGCTTGAGTGTAGCAAACCTTTGCCTGTGAGGTCGTGAATGGTTTGATCATTTAAATCGTTATTTAGCTCAAACCTTGAGGACAAGGTTTTTTAAAGGGTCGGGGAGGATTGTTACGTGATTTCCTTCTTTCCTATCATTATTATCACCATCACTATTAGAGTATGTATGTGTTTGTTGTAGAAAAAACATATTGTAAACCTCCTAATGCAATAAAACAACTCACAAAAAACATACCGGAAACCTCCTAATGCAAACCACAAATTCGCTAAAACATATCAGAAACCCCACAAAGCAAACCATAAATATTTTGAAAAGCACACGAGAAACCCCCTAATGCAAACCACAAACACGGTAAAGCAAACCAAAAACATCCTAATGCAGACCACAAATATATTAAAACAAACCAGAAATCTCGCAAAGCAAACCACAAAAGTTTCGAAAGCACACTAGAAACTTCTTAATGCAAACCAGAAACCTTCTAATGCATACCACAAATCTCCTAAAACAAACCACAAACATCACAAAACAAACCACAACATTTGCGAAAGCACACCAGAAACCTCCTAATGCAAATCACAAACACAGTAAATCAAACCACAAAAAAGCAAACCATAAACGTCCTAATGCAGACCACAAATATATTAAAACAAACCAGAAACCTCACAATGCAAACCACAAAGTTTTTGAAAGCAAACCAGAAACTTCTCAATGCAAACCACAAACACGATAAAGCAAACCACAAAAGGCATAAAAAAATATGAGAAACCAAACCATAAATCTCACAATGCTAACCATAGCATCCGATGATCGTTGACCGGTCAACGAAGTTCGTTGACCGAACTCCGGTGACCGTCAGTGAGTAGATTCCGACGCCGATATGCATATTCCGGCCCCGATGACTAGATTCCGACGCCGGTAAGCATATTCCGGCGGCAAATAGCATATTCCGGCGACAAAAAGCATATTCCGGTGACCGTCGACCAGTTTCCGGCGACCGGTGGCAGAATTCCGGCGAACAAATTTTTGAGCATAAAATAAAAAAATATATTTTTTATTTTTTTTTATTTTTTTATTATTATTTAAACATATTTTCATAATGAGAATTATACCCCTGTTTTGATTTTACACTAGGTCAACTCAACTAATAAAAAGTCATCACATCCGTACCTTCCTATTGGTGGAAGACTAGTGTTGTCACTATAACAACACATGGGGTGTTGTCATAGTAACCTGTCCCTATTTATCGTTCAATTATCCCGATGCGTGAACTGATCACACATTAGATATCTTTCACAAATGGACCGCGATTCTCATGAGTCTGAACCAGACCGAACCTTTACCGTTGTACACCTCTAGACTGTACGTGGGCACCGGGTCGTGACGTGCCGCCCACGGGCTACCACGGCATGGCACGGTTAGAGCACTGCACGAGCACGGGTACGAAATAAATGGGCCAGCCCGGCACGAGCACGAATAATTTATGGGTCGTGTCAGCTCTAAACTTCATGGGCACAAGCACGCGCACGGGCATGAGCACGGGCACGACACAGTATATAAGTTGGCCGTGTCGGGCCTAATATTTTCGAGACTTTATTGAGTATAAGAACAGGTTTGGCACGAAAATAATATTTATTTGATAGAAAATAAATATAAAAATAATTATAGGTTCAAATATTACAAAACACAAGTAGAAAAATAATTATTTGTTGTTGTTAAAAGTGTTATAAAGATATGTACGTAATTACTAACATAAGTAAAATTGACAAAGAATTAAACAAAACTAAATCACACTCGCTGTACTTTCAATTTGTTACTTTTCTCAAATATTATCGATTAATACTATCTTTCTCTGTCCAATTTTCATCTTCTTTTTCATTCTCTCTTTTGTTTTTCGTCATTTTCATTAAACACGAATACGAGCGTGACACGAGCACGAATAAGCACGACACGATTCGAACTGTGCACAGGTCTGGACCAGGCCTAGCAAAATTAACAAATGGTATTGCATAGCACGCACAAAAACTGACGAGCCGTATTAAGCACTGCACGGAATAAATTGGACCCGAACCGTGCCCGTGCCGTGCCGTGCCAATCCCAAGCATGACCCAACACCTATGTACAGTCTAGATAGACTCTACTAGTCTAGTGCCGGTCTCCCAGGTTCCCAGCAAGCGGGAATCATTGGGGCGTCGTCGTTTATGATCAATCTTCCCGATCACCCCGTCCCTCTTTTCCCCTTCCGTGCTCTTTCTTCTTTTCATGTAAGTGACAACGCAATAAGTTCCGGTCCTGAGAAGAGAAGTGGAGAGGAAGCATTCTGAGGGTGTCGACCGAAGAAGGGGCGGGACAGAAGTAAGGGCAGCAGCGGAGCAGATTCCGGTGACCGGACGGCTCAAACAATGTCGAAGAAGAAGGTTTCCTCGACGATGTCCTTGAAGGACTTTCACGGCGGCTCAATTCCTTCTGATCTTCCTCTGCCCTCTGCTCCCGGAGTGTAAGTTCCCCCGCACTCCGCCTCCACTTCGCTCCTATATTTATACTGTGAAGGTTTCCTCTGAATTAGCTTCGGCGGCTCGATGGGTGGATCAGATGGAGGAAATTTAGTTATCCTTCGATTAGGTTTCAGTTGTTCCTAACCAATTGCTTGGTTTTATTCGTTGTTCTAGTCTTTCTTTTCATCTCGGGTTCGGGATTGGTTTTTGTTAATGTCAATTTCGTCATTCGATTCGAGCCTGTGACTTGGTTCTTTTTGCGTGTAGAAGTTTGAAATTGAAATCGGTAACTAGTATAGATCTTAGGGCAACCTGTAGATTTTGATTTGCGATAGTTTAGCGTTTGTTCTGCTGATTGGTTTGGCTGCGTGCAGTGTTGCGAAACCTGGTTCTGACCGTAGCCCATCTGCAAACTGGGGAAACAATCTGATGCGGGCAGATCTCCGACCACGGCCCAAGTCTTCAGGTGCATCTCGTGGCTTTGATGAGAAGGCATCACTTCTTTCTCACCCATCACCACCTATAGGCCGAAACTTTGATGAGGACGAGCGGAAACCACTAGATGGGTTATCTGCTCCACGGCGGACCATTAGTGATGAAAGCATTCAGAGGTCTGCTGTTGTGGTTCATCACGAAGTGAAGCTGGATTACCCTTCCTCTGTGAGGGTACATGATAGACCACTGTCTAGTCCAGGCATCCAGTCTCCCAGTCTAGGAACTGGATTAAGGTCTGTGGCTGGTTCTGCTGGTATTGATCAGGCTGTTAATAATTCCAAAGCTTCAGTTGTTCTCAATGGTCAAGGAGTGAACTACAATCCACCCAATGCATGGGGAGTGAAGAAGGAAGTTAGTGAGTACGTTGCTCCATCACCATTGGGCACAAGTCCGATTTCCAAGTTAGCTCAAGCAAGTGCCATTGACAAAGTGTCCTCAGGGATGTGGCAGTCGAAGAACCCTACTAACCTCTTGCCTCACTTGCTTTATGCCAAGGACAATGTTGTTGCACAGAGTGGGGGCATGATAGAGAGGGGTGGCTATGATCCTCCCCACGGTATTCAAAATGAAGCTGATCTACTTACTGAAGATAGAAACCGGGAGTTTGGGAGGGAGTATCCTAGTTATGGAATAGATCAGAGTCATAGGCCAAGAGAAGATAGATATCAGCTGCCACAGACTGTTCTTCCAGGAGGCTCTGATCAAGTTAAACCAAAGCCTTATCAAAGGTCTACATCATTGGAAACTTCCGGACTGGAGTATAGACAGGTGCGATTTTAATTTTTGTTGTTGATGAGTTTTAGAAGCTTGCTATTATTTCTTTCAACTAGAGATTGTCGGTTAATTAGGGTTACCCGCATGCTACTCAGCCTGGTCAGGCTGAAATGATTCACGGATTGCATGGAGAAGCAAGTTCACCAAAACAAGGACCAATTGGTGGCAAGACTAATACCAGGCCAGCTGAGAAGCCAGTTGAGCGTCCAAAGCTGAACTTGAAGCCCCGCTCCCAACCTCTTGAACAATCTGAAGGGAATGCAGTGAGAGAACGGTATATTTTTTGCCCCAATTTAGCTCAATATGGATGTGATTCTACGAAGTTTAGTTCATGGTAGTTTTTGAGGAACACATGATAGTTCTTTCTTTAAAAAATCACACACATGATAGTTGCTCAGTGCCAGTAATTGATTGACTGGTTTCTATTTATCACGTGGAAGGCTTATTTGTCACCAACTCTATCGTTGGGAAGTTAAGTTTAGGGAATTCAATTATTTTCTTGAGGCAACTGATCTAAATTTTATTTGTTTAATAAGCGTCACTCAGTTTTGTGAAGTTGACTTTAGAGGATTCAGTTATCTTCTTGTTGTAACTAAATCAAAATTCTTTGGCCTGCCATAATATTGACTTCTGTTCAGTTTGCTATATTGTAATGCTGCTGTGCATTCCAAAACTTTGGACACATACATGTTCAGAGCATGCATTTTGCAGTTCTCTTCCACCATTTTTTGTGCTTAGTTGTCCTTGCCATTTTCACTATTCTGGAACCTCTGCCTAGTCGGGCTATTTATTGACTGGGAAAGCATCTGGGAAAACATTGTGCACTGTATGATGCTTTCCCATCTCCTTTGCCTTCTGTGTTGCTTTAGAAAGGTCTTGCTGTTTCGCATTACGAAAATGATGGCTAGCTCAAAAATGGCCAAATAATTGTTTGGCTTAATGTATGTTTTGAGTGCTTAGGTTAATGACATTCTAATGGGAGCACTTCATCTTCGAACCATGCTTAACCATTGATTAGTGGCCGGGAGATAAAAATAGACTATGGATGTATGAAATAGAATTTGACGGAACAATCTCCTTACCCTGTGGTTAGACTAACCCAAGAGGTGTTCGTTGGTTTGGATACCATGAATCGGTGAAAAGATGGCTAGTGGAAAGCTGTCCGCCATGGTTGATTGTTCATTATTGTGCCAATGATGGTGTCACGAAATCTTCTTTGTCATGTTCCTGTTGACATTAAAAAATGCCGATTTACTCTCTAATTCGAGTTAAAATAAGATGGATAGTGGAAATCTGTCCGCAATGGTGATTTTTAGTCTATAATTCGATTCTGAAGAACTGAAGTAAATCTTGCTTCCGTTTAATCGTCTGTTACTCTGTTGACTTTTCTTCTTGACTTGAGTTCCTAATTCGCTGGTATTCTTTTGCAAATTGCTTCTAGTGCTAGTGTTGTTCCTTTCTGCTTTCTGCTCATCTTTTAGTATAATATAACTTCTGGTGTAATTTAATATCCTTGTTTTGATCCAGGAATTCGTTGTTTGGTGGTGCTCGGCCTCGTGAGCTGGTATGTGGTCACTTTGATAATTTGCATGTTAATTTCTTCTTCTTTGATGCTGCGAACTATTAGATGTTCAGCTTGCGCCTTCCCACTCTTTCAACCATTATTGAATTGGAATGTAATCCAGCATTATCCCCCCTTTTTTATTCATATTATCCTGCTTCAGGTTCTCAAAGAAAGGGGCGTAGATGACATTGAAATCAACAAGATTGACCACCTCAGTCCTTCGCCTACGAGGTACTCGATGAACTACTTAATCTTTTGAACATGCCAATTATTATTCCTCAATCTATCTATTTCTTGGCTGTTGGTGCATATATATGATATGATGATAATTATCTGGAGGTTTCGTTCATGAAGGGTTAACACCTTGAAGATTGAAGTGAAGTCGGAGCACTTAGCTCCTGCTCCTCGACAGGGTCCCCCCACGAAGAGTGAGGTTCGTACTCCAACCAGCAGGGGTAGGACTGGAGGAAGGGAGTTTGAAAGGAAGGATCATCAGAAGGACCACAACGAGAAACCCGAACAAGAAAGGAAAAGCTGGCGGAACGACAACTGGAAAAGCAGCAACAAAGAGGTGGTTGTTAATCATAATTATAAAGAACAGCAGCGCCCTGAAACTGAAACATGGCGCAAGCCAATCGAAGAACGAAATTCCAACACCTCACCAGAAGGCGTCGGTCATGGCAAGTTGGTCTCGGCTTTAGAGCTCGCACAAGCTTTTTCAAAGTCGGTCTCAGTCTCGAAGAAAAACAGCGAACTGCGTTCACCACATCGAGGAGGGCCGGTCAGGCAGCACAGCGACAAGAATGGTAGTCAGGTACTGTTTTCCAGATTGACAGAGACTCGTAGTGAACTCTACCCTGCACCATCCACGGCTAGGCACCGGGTGAATGGTTATTAGATAAGAGTACTCGAGATCATATTATTGGGAGTTTGTTGTGGAAGCCGGGGATTTGGGGGTTTTTACTTCCTAGTTTATTTTTTTTCCTCGTCGTCATGATTCGTTGCTATTCTGTCATATCCTTATGTGGCTCAAGAGCAGCAAAAGTCATCAATCCGACCCGCCCAAAACAGATCGAACGGGTCAGATAAAACGGGCCAGGTTGAAATTGTCATCTCTAGTATGAATACACATTTATTCGAGTGTGTTTTAATTCAACATACACAAATTCAACCTATTTGTAGATCTTCAAAAGTTTAAGTACCAAAATATAATACACAAAATTTTAGGTACTAAAAATATAATGTTCCATCAATATTTTGAGGACTAATATGTAAAAAGAAGGTTATAAATCTAAAGATCTATTAAGTTTAGATACCAAACTATAATTTGCAAAGTTGAGGCTATACCTTTTATGGTGATGTATTTAAGATGATAATTATTTACTTTTTTATAGAAAAATGAAACTATTTATTTGATATGTGTAGATACCTAGCCCAACATTCCATGTATAATTGTTGAAAATTCTAGCCCGAGTGAAAATTTTCAAGCCTTCAAATCCCATATTCGAAGATGACGACTTTTTAATAAGTAATAACCATATATATTTATTTTTAATTGGACTCGACAATGACATTGAGCTGAAAAAGTTTATGGTTTAATTATTAATTCTCTAGACTGTAGGTGAGTCGTGTATGGACCCATTCATACTTGTAATTAGATTACATAAAAATAGTATACTAATTAAGGGTTAGACGAAGAAGGCAAACAAAGAAATAAAAAAGGGTTATGGAAGACGAGTGAAAAATGAAACGAAGAGGAAGTAGATAATGGAAAGGTTTTGACCAATTCTTTTAGTTGGCTTTCAGTACAACAATCAATCCTTTTCATCGTAGAAATTTGTTTAGTACCCCGTAAATGTACAAATTTTTTTGTTGTTGCAATATTTGAGAGTCGTCTCTGTTTTATCGTTTGTTTAATGTTTCACGTAATCAGCAAATATGAAATAGTCGAATCTTTTCCTATAGTTGAGTGATACAATATCTTGTATTGTACAAGCTAAATATATACTTTTATTTTATGGTGGATTGGATTCATGGATTGGTTCAAAAGGATTGGTGGATTAGATTCAAGTGAAATCTAAACATTGGACCAATATGTAAATTTTAAAAATTGTAGATACGAAAATCTCATAAAATTTAGATATCAAAGTATAATTGTTCAATGATTTTACATTAAAATTAAATTTGATGTATCAAAATGTTTAATATACATTTAGTGACTAAATTGTGATTTAATTAAATTTGGGATATCAAAATGTTACTTTTTAGGCAACCCTAACATTACTTCATAATGTGAACTGTTTATTGGAAATTACCATACCAAAGGGGCTTGCTATTTGCCGCCAACCAAAAAAAAAAAAAAAAGTATATATATACATATTAGGGTAAGGAGTTTCACAATCTACAACATATCCAACTTTCAGAGAACATATTGAATCAGAAAAATTCAACGCTCGCCGGAAAATTCGCCTGAAAATCATCGGGAAAGCCTATCCTCGACATATACTGCGTACACGCATCAATGAATCATCACTAAGCAGGTGCGTAATTTTTTTGTAGTTTCGAACAATTTTTCCGACGATTTGAAACGAACAGACGGTGGCCCGAAAATTTCCGGCGGCCGGAACCTGGCCGGGCCGAAAATTTCCGGTGGCCGGGCCGAAAAATCCCGGCGGCCGGAACCAGGCTGAGCCGCAAGATATTTTCGGCCCGGCCAGGTTCCAGCCACCGGAAATTTTCGGCCCGGCCAGGTTCCGGCCGCCGGAAATTTTCGGCCCGGCCAGGTTCCGGCCACCGGAAATTTTCGGCCCACAGTCTGTTTTTGCAATTTTTCGGAAAAATTCGATTTTAGGAGTTGAATTTAGAGTTTAGGAGTTGAATTTAGAGTTTAGGAGTTGAATTTAGCGTGTAAGAATTGAATTTAGAGTTTAGGAGTTGAATTTAGCGGTTAAGAATTGAAATTAGCGTTTAGGTTCACAGGAATATTGATATATTATATTGTAATTGTAGGAAAAATGTCAGAGTTGTTACCGGCCGATCATGATTACACACAGGAATTTGAGAATGGGATCCATTATGCAAGTGTGGAGTTAGCTGAGTTAGCTGCAAGAACAATCGCTCAGCAGTGTGGGTTCTTTATTGTTAGAGGAGCATGGAAACCGAATACTGCTGGACAGAATCCTGTTACTGCCCTCTGTATGTATTGCGACAGAAGTAGTAGGATCGTTAAGTCTTATAAACCAGACCCTACGAAGGAGACGCGTGGGAATATTAGTTCGAAGGGTACTGGTTGCCAGTTTCAGATATGTATAAAGGAAGTATGGCAAAAGGATGGTCCAAACACATGGGTCATGGTGGGAGTGACAAGTCGTGAAACCGGAGCTAATAGAGGGTTTCACAACCATGAAAAGGTGTTGTATCCAGAACATCACCGACACAACAAACAGTTTAGTGAGGCTGAAAAAGAGAGGTTAAGATTAATGAGGAAGGCGGGGGTGAGACCAAATCAGCAGAAGACGACACTCAATACTGAAGGGGGTGTGCATCATGATATCAAACAGATGTACAACATAAATTCCAAGACAAGATTGGATGTGATGGGTGAAATGGATGCGATACAGTTTGCGCTTCACGGAGCTGAACATCGTGGGTACCATATCTGTTTGCAAAAGGACTCTAATAATGTGCTCACTAATCTGTTTTTTGCGCACCCGACGTCCATTCAGATGTTGCATGCATGGCCGTACGTCATCCTCATTGACTCGACCTACAAGACCAACAGGTACGGCTGGCCATGGGTTGAGATTATTGGGGTTACTCCAGTGAAGAAGAATTTCAACATTGCATGTGCAATTATTAAGCAGGAAACAAAGGAAACATATGAGTGGCTGCTGCGATGTATTAAAGGGTTGCTCGGTGATACGGTTCCGAATGTCATTGTGACAGACAAAGAAGGTGGTTTGCTTGCTTCTATTCCTGTGGTCTTCCCTCTCCCACATACTGTCCACCTACTATGTTTATGGCACGTCAACAATTGTGTGAAGCAAAAGTTTGAAGTGTTACTTGGTGGAATTGCAAAAAGAGAGGTAGCACATGCGGTATGGAAGAAATATTTCGACAAAGCTGCATGGAGTTGGACTCAGGAGGGTTTTCTTCAAAAGATTAATGAGTTTGAGAGGGTCTGGACAGTGAAGAACAAAAAAATGGTCGACTACGTGCGAGGTGAGTGGTTGCCTCATCAGACAATGTGGGAAATGTGCTACACGAACCATGTGTTTCATCTTGGTAACACGAGCTCGAATAGAGTTGAGTCATCTCACTCTTCATTCAAGACTTTCCTTGTGTCTGGTAGAGGAGCGATCGACACTTGTTTTGCGAAGAACCACAACTACATGGAACATCAGTTTCTGGAAGTGGTGAATGAACTGCACAAGTCACTGAACCGCAATCTGAGTAGGGCAATTGAGGCTCCGTGCACGTTTTTGAGGAGGGTCGTTAGTTCTGAGGCAATCAAACTGATGTTAGATGGGGCGGCGGAGTTGAAGGACAGTTGTGCGTGTCATTTTCAGATGACACAAACATGGAAACATGCAGTCTAAACATAAACATCCGATCCAAACATACATAAGTAGTCAAACATCCGATCTAACACACAAACATGGAAACATCAAAACAACTAAAAATCCCCTGGAGGGGGGGGGGGGGGAGTCCCTGAGAAGCCCAGTACTCAGTCCACACATCCTGCACTCCGTGCAGTGCCCTGTAGGCTCGTCAATAATGCTCAAGAAACTCCTCCTCGGTCCCTGCTGCTGCTCGAACCGCAGGTGCAAACGTGTACAAAAGGTCGCGACCACGCTGCATAAAGAAAAAACAAGAACAATTTTTAGTTTCATGCTAAGTATATTTATAATAGAGTAACGATATAATGGTCAAATCTTACCGCTGCGGAGTCAATAAGTCGATCTGCATCTCCATCATCCCGTAGGACTCTACAATGATAGTGCGCCACGAACCAGTCAAGATAGTCTCTCGTAGTCTCATATGGATACGTCGTCCACGGCTGAGAGTACATGTCTATATGAACCATGTGGGATAGCAGAGCATCCCATGCAGCATCAAAACTCTCAGGAATCCGAAGGACATATCCACCAGGTGCCTCTGGTCGGTCTGCTCGCTGAGGACGCGAAGGGGCAGGCGGTACCATCTGAACATATCCAAACTGTCGGAGGCAACAGGCTGGATCATAGAACTCGCCTATGTCAGCGAACCGGATGACTCCAGTGTACAAAGAGCGACGCACTGCCTGATGAGGCCTCTGATGGAAAGGTGTCCAAAACACATCAGAAGGGGTCAAGCTGTCAAGAGCTCGACGGTAGAACGCCAACCTCACACTGGGATCAGCCACAGAACCAGGTGCCGGCTGCCCAATCCATCGTGAAGCCCAAGCATCATCAGGTCCAACGGCGGGCTCGAAGTGAGATGGCCTGAAACCCAGAAAGTACTCGTAGATCCAACACTGCAGAAGTGTGAGACAACCAGCCATCCCCCTGGCACCAGCACGAGATGCCTGACCAAGGTATCTGTACAACCAAACAAGTGTACCTGACGCCCAGCTATACTGATCTAACTCCTCCAACTCGTCCAAAAATAGGTTCACCACCGACCGAACCCTGTCTCTACTCTTGTCCACAAACAAAGTGGACCCCAACAACAACAACAAGTACGACTGCGCCTCTGTCACATGTGTCCCCGTGGCTCTGCAAGTATCTGGACGCCATCTCTGCAAGAAAACCACCCTTCTCGTACCACTTACCCCTATTATTATATCCAGGGACCTCCGAACGACCACTCAACTGCTCCGAGTTCATCCCAAGAAGCGCACACAAACCCGCCTCCGGATGGTCAAGCTGCGCAGAACTCCTACTCATCAGTCGTCCCTCAACAGGAATCTGCAGTAAGTACTGAACATCGTGGAGGAGGATCGTCATCTCTCCAAAAGGCAAGTGGAAGGTGTTCGTGTCTGGCTGCCACCTCTCCACAAAAGCTGAGATCAAAGCATCGTCAATCGCTATCTTGCGAAACATAGAGTACATCAGGTGCTGGAG